AAAATTTAAAAAAAACGGTGTATTTTCCAGGAAAAAATCCGTACAATCCGTACAATTTGAAAACAAATCCGTACAATCCGTGCAATCCGTACAATTTTAGGGTTAAAAAAAAATCAATCCGTACAATCCGTACAATCCGTACATTTTGGCCACCCTGAATATATAAATTTATTTAATAAGTTTCATACAAATGTGGGATTTTTTTAATTAAAATCTGCGAAATAAAAAGGAAACCCAGTTTTGCCGGTATAAAATGCATTATTGCCTCGTAACTAATAAGAAACTTCTTACCCAAGATTATGATATGGTGAGTAAAATGTGTGATGAAACTTCTCAAAATTTAATAAAAATTATGTACGATGCTCTGGGAAAAAATGCATGTAACAAGGATTTTTTCGTCCTCTTTGATAACTACAAAATACATTTTTTTCACCCTAAACATTGGTTTATTCAGAATTTGATATATATATAGCAAAGATTTATATTTCAAAATAATCGGAAAGTTAAGTTTGATAATAAATATTTACCTTATAATGTTATCGTCTTTTAATATTTCTACAGTATCCTCCTAAAAATGTCAGTTTTATTACAATTTCAATTTGTAACAAGGCAAATATAAAAAGAATGGTTTTAGGTGAAATAAATTTAATTTTAAAATTGACAACTTAAAAATCTTGCATTGGAGATTGGATTTAATTAACAGTAGAAACCTAGCTGAACTACTTCTGCAATAGAGAAATAGTTTAACTATCCCTCGATTCTATATAGTTTAGCTACGTCTTGCAGAATTTAATTAGATAAAAAAATTAAAGGTTTATAGAATGAAATCAAAATGACTTTTCCTCAAGAATAGCGATTAGAGCTTCAATCTCTTCTAATGCTTCTTCGGAGCACATTTTTTCTGAAAAATTAAAAAATAAAATAAATTATATTTCATTATCATTTCTCATATATAAACATATAATACGCCATGCCCATGTACAAACGGATATTTGCTGCTTCTTTGATTCTTCGTATTTTTGATAACTTTCTCCCGCATTTTGGAAAATATTCATAATTTTGGATTTGTCGCCTTCTTCTCCCGCATTTCTTCAGGTCCAAAATCGAAAAATTTCGACAGTCTCAAGTTTGTTGTTGAGAAGTACTATCCCTGTTTGAGAAATCGATATTTCATCAAACAAGGGTCCGGAGAGTTGAAGAGACAGAACACTTGGAACAAGATTTCCAACCTAAACAGAAACGTTTTAAGTAAAACAAATAAAACGTCATAACTTTTTAAGTAGGGTTTCCAATATATGCGCGAATTTTTTTTTGTTACATTGCCTGTAATAATGATGTCTATGTTAAAAGTTAAGTACAAAAACTAGCCTTTAAGAGTTTGCACAACTATTGGTAAAAATGCTGAAAGTTTAAGAGCGATGTTGCGCAAAATTTGTGTTTTTCTTCTTTTATTCATTACAGAGACACTGGAAAATAATTTTTTGTCCTACCAATGTGGCACATTACAAGATTTTGAATTTTGAATTTGTACAGGAAAGTTTGCCAGCTACAGGACCAGTTTTGCCCTATTATTGGAAATATTGCAAATGGAAGCCTTACTTCTAAGCTTTCCTTATTTCTTTTTTTTGCAATTTTTTTACTTCTTAACATTTAGATTTACATAAAAATAAACTAGCTAAAGTGCCGGGTGTGGGCCGAAGAATCTCAAAAATCGTCAAACACTCGACAGAAAATAACCTCCAAAACGGGAATTCTTTAATAAACATCCCCAAAGGGAAAATATAGCATTTTATTCTAGATACAACAGTCATAAAAGTGTTTTAAGGCTGCTTAAGCAGAAGGGGGAACAGGGGCGGATACAGGGGGGGCGGGGGGACATTCGCCCCTCCATGACAGATTCAGGGAGGGGCATAGCCCCCCCGAATTTGGAATTTTTTGTTCCTATTTTCAGAATAGCTTCTCAATAGCATGCTTAAGGGAAAGAAATCATAGTGCAAAACAGGAAAAATATCTGTCTTAATAAACTATTATGTGTGAAAAGTTATTTTTTATGTTCCTAATTATGAATTTTTTGGTTCCTAAAAAATCTTGCCCCCTTAAAATCAATGTTAAAGAAATGTTAAGAACTAAAGATAGCAATACTTTAACAAAATTCCAGGGGAGGAAATTTTCGTATAAAATAATTCGAGGGCCAAAAAATCACACATTCTGGCGGACTTCCTTATAATAAAGCACTAATGACGATAAGACAACATAAGAAAGCACTTCTGAGCCGGGACTTATATAATTTCGTAGAACACCTTATAAGTTTTCAATCCACAGGAGGTAAATCTTAACTAATTTATTACAACTAGAAATTCAAGGCACTTTGCGCCCTTCTTTCTAGGCTTTTAGGGCGCTTCGCGCCCATCTTCTATTTAAATTGTGAACATGTTCTTTTTGTTTACATTTCAAAACAAAGAAGAAAATAATTTTGCGGATTTTTAAAAAAAATTCGAGGATTTTCAAGAATTTATTTTTTTTTACAAAATTAAAAACCTTTAAAACAAATTTTTTTAATTTTTATCATTCATAAACCTTCCCTGTGGTAACGTGATGTCCCACAAAAAATTCGGGCCGATCGGTTCAGCCGTTTTGACGTTTATTGGATATAAACAAACAGACAAACAAAAAGACAAGCCAAATTTATATATAGAAGAAACTTACTCTAAAATGTACCTTTATCTGGTCTAGGTTGAAAATATCAAGGAACGCTGAGCACTGTGAATGATCTGAAGAGTGTTTAAGATATCGGGTTAGGTAGACAGAATCCCTAGAGATTAGCAACTGAGAGGCAGAACCGGTAATTCATCAATATTTAAGTTGATCAATATTCTGTCAAATATATTGCAAATTGTACATTTCAATATAAAGTACAATATCAAATTACAATGACAAGAGCTATCGATCAGTAAAATTAATCGATCGATTCAAATCATATGTACCATTAATCTCTCTATTAACAAATCAATTAATCGTGAACATTCAATCCACCAATCTATGCATCAGTAAACCTATCCATCAATCTATCAACCCTTTCCATCAATTCAAATCAAGAAAAAACCTCCTATTTAACAATATATTAATTACTTTATAAATTCAACCAATCAATCACTCATTCACTTCGTCATTCAATCATCCTATTAATCCAACAATCGCATCGTACTAACATCATAATGTTGGATGGTGAATCAAGACATTTGTTCTCAAGCCCAAGTCTAGGTTCGCTAGCGCTGTCTTTATAAGCTTATCGTGCAATCAATCAATCAATCATTCAAGTAATGTGTAAGATGAATTAAGTCGCTTATTCCTAAGCCCAATCTCAGGTCTAGGTTGACTAGTGCTTAAGCTCAGGTCTTTCTAAATCTATCAATCAATCAATCAATGAAATAATGTAGAATGATAAATCAAGTCCCTTATTCCAAAGCTAAATCTAAGGTCTAGGTTGACTAGCACTAAAGCTAAGGTCTTTTTAAACCTAACAATCAATCCAGCAATCAATTAATCAAATAATGTGGAATGATGAATTAAGTCCCTTATTCCCAAGCCCAATCTCAGTTCTAGGTTGACTAGCGCTAGAACACAGGTCTGCAGGTTCATGGATAAATCGGGATAAACTTGATCTCTCCTGGAAATAATACAAAATAGAGCTAAACCCAGTGTTTTCTCCATAGATCCGGCCCGGACCCACAAAAACAAGCGGATCCATGAATTCGGATCCAAGTGGCTAAGAATCAATATAAAATTTGGGAAATATTTTTTTCCGCACCTTTTTTCGCAGGATTGGGGAAATATGAGTATAAGAAAAGATACAAACTTGCCGATTGATGTACAATTTTTCTTTTTCCCCCTAGAGCATCAAAATTCATCAAAATCCCCCAATGAGTTAAAAATATAAACCCCTTAACTAACCTCTAGATTATATATTTTTAAGTAGCAATGATCCTGAATAGTACAGAGTAAAGGATACACAAACACCTCGTTCAGTTGAAACATTCCCGTTTTCAAACCTAGAAATGAAGACCTTGAAGATTTTTTTTTTTTACTTTTTTTACTTTTTTTACTTTTTTTACACATTTCCCACGCGATTAAAAATCTCTTCCACAAAACCATTGAAATGCTAAATATAAACTATTTACAACTAGAAGTTCTATTTGATTATTCCCTGAAAGAAACCGAAATAGGAAATTACCTTAAATTCACGGTTATTGTTATTTCAAATAATTTAAAGAGGACAATGTCCGATTCACCCCTTCATCTAATCAATGTCCGAATTTAATGAATTTGAGTCGCGTCCTAAATCCTCCAAAAACCGGATTCAATTGAGCGCCGGCTTAAATCTTGAAAAAATTAATACAATTTTAAGAGGAACCAAACATATTTGAGCCGCGGCTTAAATTAAAACCTCGGCTCAAATTCTTTAAATTCTGCCTCAACAATATTGAAAATATTGTTTCGATATTGATAAGTGTTTCAATGCTGCTAATTTCTTCCATTTTTTCTGATGCAAAAATCCGCAAGTCACTTTTATAGAAATACCCCAATTAAATATAATTAATTTTCAAAGACAAAAAACGTGGATACTACGTTTATTTTGTCAAGACAAAGTTTAAGGTACCGTTGTAAATCGGAGTGTCATGCAATTGAAATCAAGTCTTAAGTCCCTATATAGCCCAATACCTTTTGTAACTGTTCGTGAACGAATTACATCATACACATTTGTCTGATCAATCTCGTCAATTGTTCGAACCAGAGCGTATCGGCCGTCAAAACTTAGGTTTAGCACGTCGTAAAATGACAGGCGAATTTTAAACTAAAATAAAAAAACGTTAGTAAAAACAAATGAACATAAAAGGGGGGGGGCCACAAAACGTATTACTCTCCGGAAAATTTAAACAGTGTTTAAACATAACTTAGAATTGTAGTAGGAGGCTGATTTTTTGCATGCAAACTCAGAATTATGTATATTACGTGCATTTTTTGGTTTTGAAGGAATCTGAGCAAAAGTGCGCGCGCGCGCGCGTTTTTTGTGAAAAAATCAATGTTAACTTCATTAATTGCACTTGAAAATTTTTCCTGACACTCTTGAAACAAATATGCGCTAAAAAAATTCAACCCCAAAGGCTTGAATGTCCGCGCGCGCGCGCAATAAAAGAAAATATCTTTGTATACTAATGTGCTAAGTTTGGCCCAAGTTAGAATAACAGTTGCATGTGATACATCAAACTATAGCAAAATTGGGACAAGGAATTCATTTCCGAGGTCAAATTGAACATTGGAGCATTC